TTTCTCTTTCCTCTCTCCTTTTTTTTTTTAATTAATAAACTAATGAATCACTTTTTCTCTCTCCTCTATCATTCTCTAATATTCTACATATCAATCAATCAAATTTTCTCACACTCATCCATTCAACTAAAAAAAAAAAGAAAAGAAAACTACAAATCATCCCAAAATTATTTTCAAAACTCATAACCAAACAAGTTTTTCAATTTTTAAAACACTTTTCAACAACTTATCTTTCAAAATACAACTTAAAACTATTTTCAAAAACTAAACCAAGGTTGTTTGGTAATGTTTTTGTTTTCAGTTTTCGGTTTATATTTACAAAATTTTTAAAAACTATCATAAAAACTTGTTTGATAAATTTTTTTTGGTTTATAAATGGTTGTCTCAGTTTATAAATTTGAGGAAAAATTGTAAACTCAAAAAATGAGTTTATGTTGGTTTTTAAACAGAAATCGGAAATCCCAAAAATGCGAAGCTACAGTAAACACAGAGCTACAATAACACAGACCATGGTTCGAATCTGCGGAGGAGCATTTTTCAATTTCTTAACTACTACGGTAATATATACGTTATCTCTAACTTTACTTATCTTATTCCTTCACTTTGTTGTTCAAAGAATCCACAATCGACACTGAAGAAGAAGGATCGACGTCGGATTAAGGCCAAAGGAGAAGTATCGATGCCGGATCAAGGCCGAATGTGACAACCCAAACCTGCCTTTATAGGCTTAGCATCCTAACCGGCCAGTAATCCGTGATTACCAAAGGCCTACTTCACAATAATGACAATAACACAATAAAAGAGGTTAGCAGAAGCCAATTCAATAATAGAAAATAATGTCCAACGAGCTGTGAGGACTTAAATGTACAAACCCACTTTCAAATATTTATGTATGCACAAAAACTCAAGTCCATAAACACTTATATACAAAATGAAACACAAGTTAAGGAATTAAATCCCATAATCAAAACATTACAAACAAAAGTCATAGACCACTCTTGCCACTAGATTGATTTTAAAAGGGTGAATCTGAACCACCCAAAAAGACTTGACACGTATTGGATTGGAACCTTGCGGTGAGGCGTAATAGTTGGCTTGACAAAAAGAGAGTTCGGGTCGGCGCCACTAACTTTGATCCGGTGCCCGATCACCTATATACATATATTAAACAGTGAGTTAGAGCTTAGTGAATAATCCTAATTTAAAGATTCACAACTTATGTAAGGAAAACAATGTTCAAAATATTTCCGAATACTTGTACTCATGAATAAAGTTCCATAAACCTTCAGTAAACTTTCCATAGATCAACACATAGCGCAATACGTTATCAAAAGCGTTACTAGACCTTTAGCAAAATACTATACAAAACGCTCATGACGAAATGACGTATTTATCAAACATATACATTCATAAGTCATAAAGTTTTTCATACCATTCAGTGTCACTTTCATTTCATGATATGATCTAATAGTATTGGTTAGCAAATTAGCAGAACGTCCACAATGGAATGAGAACATAGGCATAACAATCGCAATGTGTCGACATATACATAACGATCGCAACGAATCGACATATACATAACGATCGCAACGGATCGACATAGACATAACGACCACTAGAGATCGACATAAACATAACGGAAGTTTCCGAAAATCAAGCACATGTTCATGGTGTCACGTTCGATATCAATAGGGAATCTCATTCATTCGTATTAAACATAATTTCTTGGAAAACTTATCATTTATAACAAAACATTTATAACGGTCCAATAACTTATACAAACGTCATTTACGGATCATAGACAAAACAGTGGTTACTGAATGATCAAAACATATTTTCTTATTAGTTGTTCAAAGGGAATTCATTCACTTCTTAGCAAATTTCCTTTTTAGGAAACATATCACATTGTACACAATTCAGCATTTCAAAGCATAACTTTTAGTTTTAAAGGACTTATTTGTAAACTTTTTCATATTTCATAACTCTTCATCTAGCAAAACTAATTTCAAAATAATTCATACAAAAATACCGTTATAAAGAGATTACTCACCTCGAGTAGGTTGGTGCCCTTGCACAATGTTCAAACTTACATATCACATATACCAAACACATTGGAACACATTGTTCTAATCACATACTTTATCTTCTCATTCTAATTCAATTATACATGTTGTTTCCTTATATATCAGTACCTTAATGGGTCATAATTCATGCTTAGAAATACTCAGAAAAAGACAAAAGCAAAGATGTAAACACAGAACAACATGTCAAAATATGCTGAAAAATGTTTGGCACTCAAGCGGACAGTGTGTAAAATGCGAACTCAATTCTTTCAATTCTTCACTTTTATGCTCATATGAATTCTTAACATTAATTTACATCCAAAAACTCTCAATTAGACATGATTTGCTATAAATTTATACTATGCATGTCATGTTTATGAACCACTTTCTTCAAATCCAACCATACAAACTCATGTAGGTGTCCTACTTCAATTTACATCACAATACATTCTTAATCATGCATGATTCTTTCTCAATTAAGCTTAATTTGAATGTAGATGTCTTAAATTCAAGAATTTAAGAAATTCCTACCTTAACTTGTTGAATTATGAAGCTTTAAGCTTATTCTTCAATGTCTTTCTTAAGCTCTCTAAAAAAAAAAACTCACTTCCTCAAGTTGTATCTCTCTCTCTCTTGCTCTCTCTCTCTCTCTCTCCCTCTCTCTCTACAAAGCCCACTTATTCCCTCATATTTTAAGTTCAAAATATGAGTTCTTGGTCATGTTTGGTGTAGTTGTTAAAACAGATTATAGATTATAGCTTAACAGATTATAGATTATGACTTTAATTAGAAGCTGTCAATCTGTTTGGTGTAGCTGTTGGATTATATATTTAAGTTACTGAGTAGTGTTTGTTAAATAAGCTGTGAAGTAGTTTTTTCAATTAACTTTTATTTTTTATTATTCACTATTTGTCTACATTTCTCATAAAAAAAAATAATATTCTATAGTCCATTTAGGTCTTTTTCTATTTTTTAAAAAATAAAAAATAAAAAAATCTAAGAGTATAACCGTGAATTAACATGTCTACAGAAGAAGCTGATAATCAAAAGTAAGGGGTGAACAGTTTCTCAGAATCAACTTTTTGGACTTAAAATAAGTTGTTAGAATCAGAAGCTGTTTGAAATAAGTTTAACCAAACAATCCAAAATAACTTTTTAAAAGGCAGAAGCCATAAGTTGGCTTAAAAAAGCCCCACCAAACACCCCCATTACATATATAGGCTCAATCAGTTCATTTAATTAATCAAACCTTAAGTGAAATAATTATAACGTACGTTCATTGAATTTAATCTACTTAATTTGATCTGAATAATTTTTTTTTAATTAAATTTCACAATAAACTCTAAAAATTACACTAATCACAATAAAGTAATTAATTTTGGTTTCTGTCACCTTTACGGTCCTCAATTTATAAAAATCCATTTCAAATTACTTCATTCCTTCCTAATTTCTGGGTTTTTCCAAAACTAGGTTCAAGCTTAAAAAATGGAGTTTGCCTTGCATTAATCCATGAAAACACTTCCATAAATTTGTAAACACTTTAGGAATTTCAAATACATAATTATTCTCAATTCTCTTGCACAAATCTCATGATTCTTTCATAAATGGGTCTCAAATGTTCATGTATGCAAAGATTAGTTTCAAACTCACAATAATGGCTTTCAAAACATGAGATTATACTTTAAAACTCTTTAAATTAGGGATACATGTAAGAGTAAACTCTGAAATTCAATGTAAATTACGGCCCTGTTTGGTAGGACTTATTTTCAGCTTATTTCAGCTTTTAGCTTAATTTAAGCTATTTTAGTGTATTTGGTTCAGCTTAATGGTGTAGATTATAACTTTTTATAAGTGAAAAATGAGCTTTTTGGTTGAGTGGGGGAGGAGGTGCTTATTTTTTAGCTTAAGCGGGAAGCTGAATGTCAAGGATAAAAAGACTTAAATGCCCTTCACACTTTCAAATTATTACAAGTCTACTAGGTATATAAACAAAAACACACTCATTCTCTCCCTTTTACGAAATGATAGGGGTGATTTCCGGCGACGTCGGAAAAGATGAAAGAAGAGAGCACACTCTCTCTCACGAACCAAATCTCTTTTCTCTCTCTCTCTCATCGCGATCTCTCTTTTCTCTCCATCTTTCTTTGTCTCTCTTGTCGTGATCTGAAGAGGGAGCAAAACCCTAGCGTTGTCACCGTCACCACTGCAAGCCATGACGATATGAACCAACGTCACCACCGCCATTGCGCTGTAATCTCCAAACTATCATGATCGATGGTGTTCTCTCAAGCATCGCGATCACAATGACGATCAATCATAGCTTGCGATCGACAACCCTAACCAGAGTCGCCGTCGTCGCGATTTGAAGGCAAAACCCTACGCATCGCGATCTGAACCAGAGTCCACTTTGGTAAGAGGTATTAATAAACACAGGAATGGTGTCCCCAAAATAATAGTTTGGGACATGTTTTTGATAAGGACAAATGAAGTAGGAAGACAAATGCCCTGTTTATAGATAAGCATTTCGGGAAGTTTGTAACGAATATACATAGAATTGCCACTAGCACTAGTGAGTGACTGGGTGGTTTTCTGGAAATATTTGGTAGGAATTAAATCTTCATATATGCAATTCATATCAGCACTGTTGTCCACAAGAGCGATAGCATCTTTGATTATAAAATCGGGTTTTATAATAAAAGTAATCCTGATATACTATTTCTGGAAAGTAACCTGATTCATAAGCATTAAATATTGATTGTCAGATGGGTCAGGTTTGCTACTACTGGAATATGTCTCAGTAATGTCTTTGTCTTTGGTTGATCCTTTCTGTTGAACTAATTGAGTATTAATTTTCTTAATATCAGCAATGATTGATAAGTTTGTTGTTTGGAGATGATTAATCTCTGTTTTTAAGATATTAACTTCCATCTTAAGATCCTAGATAGTTAGAGGTTTTTCCATAGAAAAAGAGTTCTGTAAGCGATTATAAACTTCTTTCATACTGTAATGATTAGAGGGAAGGCCAATTTCTTCATTTTTACGCTGTTGGTAGCACATTTCTAAAAATTTTAACTTCATTTTGGGATCTGTTATCTGGTCATCAATGTTTAACATATGCTGCTCATTGTTAGTAAGAACATTTAGACTAGGTCCTCCTCCAAGATCAAGGCCATTCATTTCAACTATGGTTTTCCAATAGTTGGCTTCTGAAATTTGATTTATATTATTTTGTTTACAGGGACAAGTTTTTGGAGCAGAGTCAGATTTTAGGTCGGACTCAGAAGGTGAATAAAGTTCAGCAAGTCCATTGTCAGAACTGAGACTAGTATTTGATTTTTCCTCAAATATAGCTTGAAGAATTTGTTGTTGGAGATGATCATCAAGTGCCATCTCATTAAGTATCTGAAGGATTTTTTCTTTACAGCGATTAGCATAATGCCCTGTTTGACCACACTTATAACATTTTATTATGGATTTATCTTTCTTTCTGAAAGAGGCTTTCTGTTTGCCTTTATTAGATTTTTGAGGTTGATATTGCTGGTAGTTCTGTCTAGGAGTTCTATATTTTCTGGATTTTTTGGAATAATGTTGTTTTAAGGATTTTCCAAATTTATGTTTTCTGGTTTTGGATGGATACTGTATTTTAGTATCATAAGCAAATTGGTCACATAATTCTCTTACTTCATTTTTTCCCGTAAGATTCTGTTTCTTCATTTGATACTGAAGTTTAAGATCGTTGCATAAAGCAAGTCCTTTGTCTATAACAATATCTACAAGCTGGCCATAGGTATATTCGGCATAAGGTATGGTCATTCCATTATGACAATCCCGTAACTTCTTTCTGACTTTTTCAGCAAAAAGAGTAGGAAAACCATCGATAAATTTGGCTTTCCAATGGTCGCTGTTTACATCAGACCGACGCACAATTTTCATTAGGAAAACATCTTTATACCATCTGAAATGGGATAAAGAGGGACATCTAAGATTCTGTAAGAGTTCTCGACTCCTATCTTCAATACCAATAGTAGTGGTACCAATAAAATGATGTATAATGGTATTAATAAGAGTATAAACAACATCCTGTCCTTGACGAGCACGACCGGTTATAGGATCAGTAATAATTTTAAATGAATTTAAAATTTCATTATGTTGGGTTGTGATTAGGATATTATCCCACCATCCTTTAAGAATTCCTGTAAAGCCGTTTACTAGAAAGCGAGCTATTTGGTGATCTGTATTGCCATGCTGTTGACATACTGTAGAGTACATTATCATCTGATGCATTAATTCGAATAACTGATATTCGGAAAGCCCATCAAGATTCTATTCATAAATGGGTTTTCCATGATAGGACCGCTGAGTCTGGAAGAAGTCTTCTTCATAAAGGACACATAGGAGTAAGTCTTGAATAATAATACCTACTTGGTCCTGTTAAGGCCATTCTGTTAGTGCCTTTGACATAATTAATCTTGTTTATGGATGTTGGGTTTTCTTGGAGATTTTCTTGAATTTTTGTAAGTTGGGAAAGTGTGAGATTTTGATAATCCTCTTCTTTCTCCGGTATACGTTGATTGGACATCATATTAATTTGTGAGGATTCCCCAATGTTAATATCCTTAATTCTTTTAAGTAGGGTTTCCATGAATTCATTATCTTGTTTATGTGACTTGAGGTTAAATTTTGTCACTTCTAAAGATGGTTTGATATTTACTGGGATTTAGGGTTCATCCTTAGGTTGAATCCTATAACTGTCTTTTATTTGTTCAACAGTTTCTTCAATTCTGGTTAATTATTTTCCTATTGTTTGACAGTAGAGATTTGTATAATTATTTTGTTTAATCAAAGGTATTAAATCTTTGACTAATATGGTTTCCCTTTGAGAAATTCTTTCTGCAGTTTCCACAAAAGTGGTGATAACTAAAGGTTTACTGGAAGTAGTGTCACTAGGCTTTAGCTCTGATGACTGAGGAGGCGGATGAACAGATGTAATGCTTTGGCCATCTGTGGTAACCCAAGTTTTCTGAATATTTTCAAGAACATTAATTTGGGCGTCTGGAATTGGGATATTTTCCTTATACCATAAAAGAGAAGATTGAAGTTTCTGGTGTTTCTTTAAATGAGAATAATACTGCTGTTTAAGCTGTTCAAGTTGGAGAGGACTATGATTTGTAAAATACCATGTCCTAAATTCCTGATACTTTTTCTAGAAAAAATCCTGATTTAGGATTTTCCGATTTTCACTGCCTGGTGTGAAATCCATTAAACTTGAAAATTCATATCACTGGCCGTTGGACTATAAGGCCTCCTGGATTCATATACACTATGTGGGATTTGATTGTTTGAAAATTGGATCCCTTGAACAACTGAATCCATAGGATTGTCAGGATTGGTATCACTCAGAGGTTTGGAAGATATTCCTTGCAATACAGACTCGATAGGTTTTGAAGTGGATTGTCTAGAGGAATCGGGTAGATCTACTCTGTAAGATAGAGCAGTTCTAAAGCTAGCACTAGACATGCTTTTGGATAATGGCCGGGTTGGCCTGTTAAAGGTAAGGTATACATTACCTCCTTGTGTTTGTATTACATCGTCTAAGGATTGTTTGACGATAGGTCTTACTGGTACAACATTAGGAATATGCCATTTTTATGGAAAAGTTATATTCTGCCAAGGTATCATTTTTAGGACAGTAACTTGACTACTGAAAAGGTTAGTATCAATCAGGACTGTGTGTCCTAATTCACTTTGTTTTTTGATATAAGGATTTAAAGTAGTCAGTACTTTTAAATGAATCCTAGAGGTGGCGATCCTGGTAAATATTGATATCCATGAGAAAGGATCCTAAGCTCTAAGACTTTTGACAGATCAAGGTCAATAAGTGCAACACTTAGGTTTCGATATATGTTAAAATATACTGGACCATGAGAGAGACTGGATTCTATGGCTCCCATAAGTGATGCTCTCCAATCAAGACATCTTCCGTCGTGAAAGGTATATTGAATACTGGTATTCTACCCAAGAAGGGTCAAGGGCTTGAATGTTGTCTGGACAAGTCCTATATGGACATATTTATACTTTTGTAAGAATGGGTATAAATCTTGTATTTGGAGAAGGTACATAACCTCATCATCATTCTGTATGGGTACAGCATGTTCAAAAGTTTTGATTATTTTTCTACTGGTAAAGTCGAAGGCTCCTATCCTGTAAATAGTATCTGGTTTAACTTTTGGGATAGTCCATTTATCCAAGGCTTCCTTAACATCCTGGTAGGCTACTAACGCCCTTGCTTCTGATGTTAAAGCTACTATAGTGATTATATCCTCTGTAGGTGCAGTACTCATTCTAATGTATAGGCCTCGTTTGGAAATATTATTTTTTAACTTAAAAAATGATGTCATTAAAAAATAAAAAAATCAACAAATTATACAACAAAGTAAAAAATTCTATTTTTTCTTTATTCTTTGAATATATTTTCATAAAAAGTCAAAAAAACATTACAAACATACTAATTTTTTTTAATTAAAAAATTTACTAAAATAACATGTTACTTTAAGATTTTATTCTCATATTATTGATTCAACACATTATAAAATCCTGATATGACAAGATAATTGATCAATTTTTAACACAATTAAGCATTTTCCTTGCAAGAAAGAGTGATTGATTGTTAAAAGTTCAACTACTCTTGGGAACAAGTGCATATCGTATGGACACCAAAGAAAAAGTTCAACCACGAAGAAGTTGATTCTAATTAGTACCAAAAGTTCTACAAGTTCGTGCTTCTATCAAGTTAGAAAGCTCTTAGAAGCACGGAGGCTAAAGAAATATGGTTTCGGCTGTTGTCTCTTTTGTAGTCATATGGATTGGTGAATTGATGATTCAAGAAGCAAAACTCTTATACGGAGTGTGTGACCAAGTTGACGATTTGTTGGTTGAGTTAAGACAGATGCAGTGCTTTTTAAAAGACGCAGATGCAAAACAAGTTGAACATGAGATCATCTGTCATTTGGTTGGGGAAATCAGAGAAATTGGTTATAATGCAGAGAATGTGATCGCAACCTTTTTCTTTAAGGTTGGGCCAAGGAGAAGAAGAGGCATCCGAAACATCCTTGCGAGATCTATTTGTATATCCAATGAATTCATAGCTTGACACAAGATTGGGTTGAAAATTAATACAATTAAAAGTAAGATCACTAGGCTTACTACAGGATTATCAAGTTATGGGCTAATTGCTATGCCACATGAAAGAGAATGTTCAAGTTCTGCCCTTCAAAGTCATGATGAAGTTTTGTTCATGGCAAGAGTTTTGATTATCTTTAGAAGCTATATGAAAGCAATGTAAAGGAAGCAACGAAATGAAATTCAAAGTACTACAAAACATCCATACTTTTTCATTAAAGTCAAACTTCCAAAACATGATTACAATGTTTGAAAAAAAGTTGTGACAGAGAAGAAGAAAATAAAAGGTGCCTCAAGTGCAACGAAACAAAAAAAAGATAGCAAAAATACGAAGAAAAAGAGCCATAACAAAGCCACAATACATCAAATCAAGCCCTTCATCAAAGAATCCATCAGGGTCACATCCCGAGGCAATTGAGCAACAAGCGCGGAGTCCTTCTCCCTGAACCAAGCCAGGTTCTGTCGGTGTTGCTCCAAAGTACCCTCACACTGTTTGATAGTCTCCTCCAAAGATGCAATCATCGCCACGTTATTTGCATGATCAAGGAAGCCGTCGACTGCCTAAAGCCTAGCCCTCATCCACGATAGGTCCAAGCCATTCCTATCAAAGCCGCTCAGATTGGCCTCAGCGCTTTCCACGAACTTACTAGGGGTTGTTAGAATCTTCTTCATAGCAAGGTTGCGAATGAAACTGGCAAGTGACTACAAGTGCTGTCTGTACCATTGAACTAGGAACGTTAAAGGTAGTGAAGGTGCCTGGGTGCAGCGGTTGGATACGGGCAAGGATGGGGGTAGCTTTAGAGGAAACCCAATAACTTAGAAAAGAAACTCTCCCTGAGGGTTGTGGGGACTCTATCACACCACTGCTAGCCTGTATCACGAGGGGAGACTTACAAAATGACCAAAGTTTTGGGGATGACGAACCTCTCTCAAGGATGACTGCCTAGTGGTATTGGATTGGGTGGATGCGGGGAGGTGGCCAGGTGAGCTAATCTCGCGAGACAAACCAAAACTGCCTCCATCACCCCGGCGCTTTGAGAAAAGGTCATCCATTTGGTAATCTCCAACATTCAGATTTGGTGCAATGGTAGTGTCCATTATAGTATAAAAATCTTGAGATACCCTAAGGTTAGCTGGCATTTCAGGAAAATGAGTGGGGTACAGGTCTGCGAGCTGCTTAGAGGTTGCCGAAGCAACTGGGTCAGAGGTCCCAGCGACAGTAGTAACGGCGTGAGTAGCTAAGGTGATAGTTACCTCTGCAAGCCGGTCCAAATTTAGGGGGACCACAACAAGAATAGTAGGAACAGCCGTTACATTTGCACTCCCCTAGACATTGGGAAATGGGATCTGTTAAACCAGTGGAGACTTAGTGGACTGGGAAGAACCACCAGATACAACTTCAAAAGGGGGTGGTGCAACTTCCAGCGGTTTTCTCACGCCACGTTCTTCTCTTGGAGTCTCAAAGACAAAATCCTCCCTACTGACGGAGAAACGGTTAGAAAACAAAATCAGTAGGGTTTGGGGGCTTTGCACCCTCAGCAACTACACCATCCTCTACAATTTCTACAGCAGGGGGAACTTGTTCGCTTTCAACAAAGGGAGCATCATGATCTCCTCCCACGTCTGCAACCTCAGTCTCACCAACTAGCTTAGCCATAGCAACGGGCTCAGCCACAACAGTTGGTTCGGCCTTAGCACTTGGTTCCTTTTCAACATCTGGAAGTACCATTCTGCGAGTTCTGAGCTTGGTGACTCTTGAAGCAATGGGAAGGTCGTCATCATCATCTGAATCAAAGGAAATGCCGATGGCAGTCGAGGGACCTCTGGGGCCTGAAGGTGGCATAGCCGAAACAGTACCGTGCTCCGAGACCAATAGGCCCTGAAAAGAAAAAAAAAAAAAAAGATCACGTGACTACCAAAAAATAAAGATATTTTCTAAGTATGAAAAATACATAATATTTTCTAAGTATGGGTACCTTTCAAAGTTTCTTCCTACTTGGTGAGGCGCGAGCTTCAGCGACTGATGTCGTTGCTTCCTCGACTGCCCTCAGTTGGGAGTGAGTCATGCGTACTATTGTACCGACTTGAAGAAGAGCAACTTGAAG